TGTTTCAATAAAACATTATGGACCCTTAAATCTGAATTTCCTATACTTTTGTGTGACACAAAATAGTCTCCTTTTGATTTTTCTAACCATTTAAATATGTGAAAATCATTCTTAGCTCACAGGCCATACAAAAATGACCCATGAACCAAGAGGTCATGGTTCAATTCCCAGTCAGGCACATGCCCAGGGTGCGGGCTCGATCCCCAGTAGGGGGCGTGCAAGAGGCAGCGATCAATGATTCTCTCTCGTCATTGATGTTTCTGTCTCTCCCTCTCCCTTCCTCTCTGAAATCAATTTTTTTTTAATGTAAAGAAAAAAAAAAACAGGCCACAAAACCGGATTTGGCCTGGGGCCATTGTTTGCTAAGTCCTGTACCTTGCTCATTCATGTATATCTTAAGGATTGTCCCACAACAGCACAGAGATCCATCCATTCATTCTTCTAAACCATCACCAAGGAGTCCATTGAGAGGCTGAACCATAATTGCACCACACCTCTCTATAGTTGGACAATTTGTTTCCTGTTTCATTGTTGTTTTGAAATTATAAAAAATGTTATAATCAATTTCCTTATACAAATGGATGTTTATAAATATACCCCACAGGGTTCAGACCTATAGGTGAATCAAGGGCTGTCAACATTTGTGATTTCTCTAGATATAGCCAAATAGTCCTCCAGAAAAGCAGAATTTATTTCATACTACATGAGCAGAGCACTCTTTCCCTCCCCCTTGATGACTCTGAATGTCCTGATGGGCATTCTAGAAATGTATCCTTCTCTAAGCTCAGAGCCTGCCAGCTCCCTGAGTGGGAGATTTCCTCTACCTTTAGAAATCTCCTTCCAGCCTGGCCGGGCATGGCTCAGTGGTTGAGCGTAGACCTATGAACCAAGAGGTCACATGTCCTGGTTTCAGACTCTATCCCTCGTAGAGGGCATGCAAGAGGCAGCCGATCAATATTCTCTCTCATCATTGATATTTCTATCTCTCTTTCTCTTCTCCCTTCCTCTCTGAAATCAATAAAAATATTTTTAATAATAATAAAAATAGAAATCCCCTTTTGGCTCTCAGCCCTACTGATGCTTGCCCTAGCAAAGCTAGAGGTATCTGCTTTCTCCTCCCAAGTGAGAAGGATGCCAACCAAAGGGCAGAAACTGACTGATAACTCACACTAACTGCCACCCCATTACATGACAATTATGAACTGCAAAAAATCCTGAAGCTCCTTCCCCCCAGGACCTTCTCTCAAGATGCTTTTGGGCCCTAGTCCTTTATGCTCTCACATCTAGAATCTTCTATCACTAGTGCCAAAGAGGTCTTGTAGATGGGTCATTTGAGTAGCTTCTCTTCAGTGCATGAATAAGAAATCTGAGGCTAGCCCTGGCTAGTGTGCTAAATGATTAGAGCATCGGCCTGCGCACCAAAGGGTCGGGAGTTCGATTCCTGGCCAAGGGCTTATATCTGGGTTGCAGGTTCACTCCACACCCCAACCTGGGCGCATGTGGGAGGTAACCAATCAATGTGTCTCTCTCACCTCTCTCTCCCCCCTCCTCCCTTCCTGCCTCCCTTCCATTCTCTCTCTGAAAAGCCATGGACAGAATATCCTCAGGTGAGGAAGGGAAGGGGAGGGGAGGAGAGGGGAGGAGAGGGGAGGGGAGGGGAGGGGAGGGGAGGGGAGGGAAGGGAAGGGAAGGGAAGGGAAGGGAAGGGAAGGGAAGGGGAACTGAGGCACTAAAGAACTAACTTGCCCAGGGTCCCAGAGTGAGAAATCCTCTACGCTCAGCTGCCTCTCTTTTTATTTTTTTAATATATATGTTTATTGATTTCAGAGAGGAAGGGAGAGAGAGAAACATCAATGATGAGAGAGAATCATTGATCAGCTGCTTCCTGCACACCCCGCACTGGGGATGGAGCCTGAAACCCAAGCATGTGCCCTGACCAGGAATCGAACCCTGATCTTCTGACTCATAGGTCGACACTCAACCACTGAGCTACACCGGCCGGGTTCAGCTACCTCTCTTGAGGTAAGGCTGGCCCCTGTTGTCCAACTCCCCCCACCTCACATAAAGACTCCAAGTCTACTTTGTTGGTGGCCACCCTTCCCTGACAGTTGGTATGTGAGTCTTGAGGCCAAATCCATTCCTCTCCCTCATGCCCTCACAATTTCCCTGGTCTGGCTCTATGTCAGTGGCTCTGCTGGGATGACTGGACACAGGTGAATCAGGAGTAGTTATGAGCCACATCTGCGGAATCACTCAACTCCCTGCAGCCACACCCCAGCTTCTTGTTTGCTAGTCAGAATCTAGGTATACCTAAGGGTGCCTTGGCACGTGAACCCATGACTTAGACAAAGAGCAGAGAAGGACTGCTTCAAGGGACAAAGATTGCTCCTCGGGGGTGATGCAGAAATGGGGAGATCAGTGCCATCAGAGAATGTGGAGAAGTGCTACCTCAGGGTCAACACAAGGCAAGCCAGGGATCCCCCTTAGTTACCAACACCTCACAAGGGCCCCACCAAGCAAACCCAGGCTCTTTGAGGAGCTGTCTACCTGCAGGATGAGAGAGCCAAAGGTGACATGGATGTGGGCCCTCTACTTGAACAGATGGATTGTGGATCCCATGATTCTCCCATATGGCTGGCCCAAAGGACATAACAGTAAGGGGAAAGAGAGTGAAGGACAGGAAACAAACACTGTTAAGTGCTTTCATGTGCCAGGAGCTGTGCCTAGCTTTTGGCACAAGATGACAAACTGTTCCATCTGTGTCCCCCTTTCTGAGCCTTGACAAGAGCCCAAAGGGATGGGTGAGAGTAGGCATCCTAATTTTAAACCAAAAAAAGCAGGCTCCATGAGGCTAAGTCAGGACATCCTTCTTCCCAGGTCAGTGACTTTCTGGCTACCCATCTTCTGGCTTCAACTCCAGCCAGAGAGAAAACTGAGTCCTGTTCCAGATATAGCCTGTCCCTCAGCAGACCAGGCTAAAAAGCCTGGAGTGGGCTGGAGAACCTTCCTGCCCCAGGCAACCCTTTCTTCATACCCCTATAAATGCTGGCTGCGTGGAATGGCAGGATGCGTGGAGCTGCCATTTCCCTTAGCTCTGAAGCTGCCCATCTGTTTCCTGGGCTAGGATTCCCTGCCACCAGCCAGTCTGGAAATGTACTTGCTCTGGGGCTATGGGAAAGGGAAACTACGTGTCTTCCTCCCTCCCTAGGGGGGCAATGGCAGAGGCTGCTGCTACTGCAATCCCTTCCAGGCCTCCCACCCTCAGGGCTCTGCTGGCCAGCTCCTACCAACAGTTTAGGGCACATGAGGGTGGCAGGCTCCAGGTAGCCCTGCCCCAGCAGCACCAGTGCCAGCCTCGGAATAGCCACAAGACTCTCCTCTCTTTCCCTATCTGGCCTAGCTGGCATCCATGGCTGCCTGCTTTACTGCTTCTCCTGGCCTGGGAGGTGGGGGTGGGGGTGTGAGATGAGGGGCTGATTTTCTGGGTAGAAGTTTAGTGAAAGATTTCCCAGCCCCTGCCTGGAATCTCAACATGTTCATCTGCTGATGAGCACTGCACCCTGCTGGACACACCGGGTACACCCACCTGTGCCATCCTGCATCAGGAGCTGTGCAGACAACAATCAAGGAAAAGCATCACCCAAGCCCCAGTGGCTTAACACCACTCCACAAAACTAGTCTCCAACAACACAAGCAGTGTCAAAGGCAGTTGATGGTTCCCTATCTTAATCAAGATTCTCTCCTTGACCAAACTGTAGTGAGCTACTTTTTTGACTTGGCCTGTCTTTGAGCCTTGTCCTCAAGAGCAACAATCCTGCTAATAAGTTGGTTTCTCCAGAAGCCCACCCCAAACCCCCTCGATATCTGACTATCCTGGATCTCATCAGGCTTCTCATCCAGATGATGTCTGATCACCCTGCCTGCTTTCAGCAAGAATCCTGTTGGGACAGTTTAGTCAGAATGTTTCCTCTTAGCAATTTTTCCATCCACTGGCTCCCACAGTGCTCCTTGACTATAATCCCCACTTTTCCTTGTTGTATTCAGAATTAAGCCCAGTTCTATACTGGGCTTAACTTTTCTGAATAACTTTTTCTTCCATAACTTTTCTGAATAAAATGTTCTTACCACTTTAATACATTAAATGAGTTTTGCAAGGGAGCAAAATCACATGGGTTGAGGCAGGCCAGGAAGGTTTCTACATGAATTTTTTGTGCAGAATTTGGAAAGACAGAGAGGGCAGTGCAGCCTGGCAGGGAATGGCCAAAGCAAAGGCCTTCAGAATGGAGTGTGGGGCAGTGGGAGATCAATGAAGGCACTTGGGTACCAGATGAGGAAATGGGTTACCTGCTGGCTTTCACACTGTTTAAAGCGTAGAACTTTTCCCACAGAAGACTCTACCCTACCCCAGAACCCCAATATATTAAACTGATTAAAGTTGAGATGGTCTGGCCAATGGCTGGGGATTAAACCCCTCACACTGAACACAATGCAGTGGCCCCTGGGCATTGATGAACACTTGAAGGAGCAAAATTTAAACCAGAGCTGTGAACAATGCACTTGGACTGATAGGACAGCCATGGTGTCTAAGGAGGGAGAACAGAACCACAGGGTAGAAGACAGAGTGAAAGCAGGGGCAGGGAGCCCAAAGCAGAAGGGAACACAGAGAATTTGCTGCCATTTCTCCAGCTAGCCCTCCTCCCACACCAGGACCTTAGGGAATCTCAGGGTCAACATATGGAAACTCAATGCCTCCATTTATCAGTGTTCCTTTCCCAGTCTTCCCTTAAGCTCTGTCCAAACTATCTAATCCAGCTCCTGGTTAAACTGGCAAATTTGGTCTCTGTGTCCTGCGTTCCCCTCACACCAATGTACACAGACAGCCGCAAACACCTTAATTAAGAAAAAGAAAACCCTGTGCACTGCACAAAAGTGGGCTGGCTACAGGACCAGCAACTCTCTAACGTCAGAGGTCGCCATGCTTGTCTAGTAAGGATACTCACGCCAGGAATGTCCAAAAGCTGTGACACCAGGAGAGGTAACTTCAGGGCCGCCACACTCCCAGTGACACCCACAAGGACACGGAACTGCCTCTCTACCGAGGGCGCAGCGGCTGGACACGAGGCTCTTGGTTCCATGTGGGGTCTGGTGGCTTCGAGTCCTGGGAGCCTGCCAGAACTGGGCTCCATAAAGCTGTCAGGATTTAGAATCTAAAAGCAGAACAAGGGGTGCCCACTTCATTTATACATTCAACCAAAATGTATTGAGCACCCTGTTAGACCTCCCAGCTGCTGGGGTTCCTAAGGGATCAGCAATCCCAGCTTCTGGGAGCACAGTTTGATAAGAAGGCCAGACACCCTCACCACACATAGGTCAATTACAATGTAATGTGGCCAGCACTGTGAGGAAGGTCAATACCAGGAACTATGGCTGCCAGTAGTAACTGTCTGAGGAAAAATTAACATTCAAGTTGAGTCCTAAAAGACAAGTAAGTTTTCCAGAGAGAGGGAAATAACCTTGCAAGTTACTGATAGTGGAGCAATCTTACAAAGATGAAAAGACGTAAAGAAAGGTGGCAGGCTTGGTGAACAGGGAGCAGCTTAGCAGTGAGGCTAAAGTGTAATGGGCGTGGGGAGGTAAGGCTGTAAAGTCAGGTCAAGGGTGAGTTTCCATTTTAGAAAGATGGTGCTGGTGGTGGTGAGATTGGAGGGGCAGGGTAAGGAGCTACTGTAGTGGGCCAGGCTGATTGACTGAAGGGAGTGGCAGAATGCCTGTGAGGTGGAACCTTCAGCAACAAGGGGGCCAGAGGGATTCAGGGAGCTAAGAGATTTGCCTCTGTCCCTGTCCCTGTAGATCAGACTGGGCACCACTCTACAAATCCAAGCCTAGGAAGAGACAAGCATAAAGGGATGTAGGTCACCCTGTGAGACCAGCTGATTGGTTTATTCCTCTATCCCTCAGATGTTGCTGGACGTGAATGCCCATGATAACTTGGACACACTAAAACCTACACTCTGAAGACTGGGACAGCAAGACATATTCCATCAGCAACAATCTCTAAGGACCAATTACATCTAGCACTGGGCAAAGGAACTGTGGAAGACAGATGCTGTCTTCAGGGAATCTATAGATGAGTTTAGAAGAGAGGAATTACATCTGACATCATTTAAAATGGGTCCTTCTCTGGGATGCACTTTTTTTTAATAATCATTGATTAAATTTGTTCATCAGTTTCCTTGCCTCTCCCTCTCCACTTCCCACCACTACCACTGCCACCAGCAAGTCCCCTGAATGTGTGCCCAGGTATAATCACCAACCACCAGCCTCCTGGTAGGTCCTAAACATCTGCTGAATGAATAATAAACTGCACCCTCTGAAACAGGGTGGGGGAGAGAACAGAAACTTGGCCAGTGAATCAGGAGCCCTGGGCCCTGTCCATGATTGTGCTCATGACCTGGTGTGTAACCTTGGCCAGGGTACTTCCCTCCCCGGACCTGTCTCTTCATCTGAAGATGCAGAGATAGGACCAGGTGATCTTTGAAGCTTCTTCCAGCAGAAAACTTTGAGTCAATGCAGGAAAGACAGTGGCAATGGCTCTCTGTACTAGAGGGTCCTCAAATGGGCAGAATCAGCAGGGGAAGAGACACTAACGTAGACTCTGAAGAGGAAGTGCCTATAAGTTGCCCAATGGCTACCTCTGTGACTGTGTACCCATAGGGTCCTCCTCTTCACACCACAGGCCCCTTGGCTCACTAGGGCCTCTTGCCCAGTATTTGCTTTCAAGAGTCTGGCACACAGCCTCATGAGCTAAGGATCACATTTGGGTTCATTATCCCACTCCTACCTGTCAGGGTCTCCCAGAGGCCCACACCCTCCTCAACAGGAGTTAAACACAGGCCAGTTCCCTTCAGTAAGACTCCCCCGAAGTGCCATTTGCCAATGATCTCAATCTTTGCTCTACACCAGGGCCTCAATCAAAGCCCTGCTTGCTCAGAGCAAAACTGAGTCTACTCCAGGGCCTGGAGAGCCCTGTTAGCAACTGGCAAGGTCTAGAGCAGGGGTCCTCAAACTACGGCCCGCAGGCCACATGCAAATACAAATATTGTATTTGTTCCCGTTTTGTTTTTTTACTTCAAAATAAGATATGTGCAGTGTGCATAGGAATTTGTTCATAGTTTTTTTTTAAACTATAGTCCGGCCCTCCAACGGTCTGAGGGACAGTGAACTGGCCCCCTGTTTAAAAAGTTTGAGGACCCCTGGTCTAGAGGGCGTATTGTCCAGCTTTTCCCCAGAACTAATCAATAGGCTGATCAGCACCCATAGTAGGTGATGGAAGCACATGTCTGACTCTCTAGGGCAGTGGTTCTCAACCTTCCTAATGCCGCGACCCTTTAATACAGTTCTGCATGTTGTGGTGACCCCCAACCATAAAATTATTTTCGTTCCTACTTCATAACTGTAATTTTGCTACTGTTATGAATCGTAATGTAAATATCTGACATGCTATATGTGTTTTCCGATGGTCGGAACCACAGGTTGAGAACCGCTGCTCTAGGGAAACCTACCTACCAGATCTCAAATCTTGATCCTGTCCTACCCTAGCCAACTGGTGCTAGGACAGAAAAATTCCTGCAAAACCAGAAGGTGAATTTCATCTCTGCAGCCCCTGAACCTCCACCACATCAAGTTGATATCCCTAAGGAATGGGTTACTGAAAGCAATCAGTGAAATTTAGGGCAGGAATCCATGTTGGTGATTTCTACTATGTCCCGCAGTAGGTGGGACAGCCCAAGATTTACTACTAGGCCTCTGGAGCCATCTTTGCTAAGGACCCAAACTTATCTACCTTTCTAGAAAAGGTGGGGGTCAGGGAGAATTATATTTGAGGAATAGAAAGTGGATAATTTAACCCACATTTATTTGAAAGCAAGGTCAAATCAATTCAATCTGATAATCCCATGGAGGATGACAACTGGCAGGAGTTCTTTGTTTATACTCACAAAAGATCAGATCACAAACTAGTAAGCCTGTTACTCTCTGTCCAGTTCCTGTTAGAACCACCTATCTGCATAGCCAAGGTAGCTGTAGACAGCGCCTCATTTCCCTGGGCTCTGAGTACTCATAAGGAACTCTTAAGCAGCAGAAAGAGTTGGCAGGCAGAGGTTACAGGGCTGAAGGCTGTGATTACTGAGCCTCAAGCTCCCAGGGCACAAGCCACGCAGGTAAGCCACAGAAAGAAAAATGGCAACTCCTCTGTCCTTTAGAAAGACAGGGCTGGGCAGAGTAAAGAGCCTCAGTTTGTAATAGGGTCATGGTGTGTAAATCTCCTATGATGAGTTTCATTATGGCAGAGTTAAGTAAAGGTTTTAGGGAGCTGCCAGTCACAATAAGGTCAGGTGTGGAGCCAGAGCAAACCAGGGCTAAGAAAGGGCCAGACAGGGTATGAGCCCAGCCCAAGATAGGAATGAGGTGCTAGGGCCTAGGACCAAAGCAGAATGTAACTCAGGGGTGGGTGGGCAGAGGTCCAGCATACATTAAGCACTTGAATCCTTTAGCCTAGTGTCCAAGCCCCTCACTATTGGCTCCAGGCTTCTGCTCTAGCCCAATCTCCCACCAGTCAACATACTCTACTCTGCCTCAGTAATAATGAACCACTTGTCGCTCCCTAAAATGTCACCATGTCCCCAAACCCAAAGTCATTAAAAGTAGTCTCATGGCCTGGCCGGCATGGCTCAGTGGTGGAGCATCGACCTATGAACGAGGAGGTCCAGTTTGATTCCCAGTCAGGGGATGTGTCTGGGTTTTGGGATAGATCCCCAGTGTGGGGTGTGCAGGAGGCAGCCGATCAATGATTCTCTTTATCATTGATGTTTCTCTCTCTCCCTTTCCCTTCCTCACTGAAATTAATAAAAATATATTTTTTTAAAAGGAGTCTCATGGCCACAGGGGTACTTTAAACCCTCTCCCCCAAGGAAAGGCAAGGAACTCTTCAGGGAGCACTCAAGACCTTGGCATTCTAAGATTGTTCTCACAAACCAGAGGCCAGAATACTTGACTTTGCTGCACCAGTAATCTCATTAGGAGAACCTTCTCAACACTGTATGTTGAGGAGATAGATAATATTCACATGCACAGGCTACTAGCAAGAGACTGAGTACTGCCGACTCTCAGCCACAAGGAGAAATGTGGAAAACCCTTGTTTCCAAGACACCACCACTTTCCCAACATGGGAATCTCTCCTGCCCATTATCTGGCATGGGCCTCCAATACTTCAAAAAACAGCATGATGTTTTTCTCTTGACAAAATTTGGCCTCACTCTAATTTTTAAATGCCAGTCAGTACTTTTAGGTGGATCTATGACATAACAGAAATATCCCAGGGCTCTCCTTTTTCTATTTCACCAAAAGATGGCCCCATGGCTCAGTGGGTGAGCATGGACTATGAACCAAGAGGTCACAGTTGGATTCCCCATTAGGCCATATACCCTGGTTGGGGGCTGGATCCCCAGTGTGGGGCCTGCAGGAAGCAGCAGATCAATGAGTCTCTTTCATCATTGATGTCTCTCTCTCTCTCTCCCTCTCCCTTCCTCTCTGAAAAAAAAATATTTTTTATAAAAAAAGATAGTAGTGTGTCCTTTCGGCAGTCCCTATTACTTTTTGGAAGCAGGATCATGATTCCTTTTTTTTTTTTTTTTTTTAAGGCAAACGTTAAGTGTGGGGAACTGACAGGGTCCCCATTTAAACTAGATTAAACAGCACTGGACTATCGCCTACCAGCGCAAAGAGGGGATGAGAACGCAAGATACAAATTCCCCACTTCAGGCTCTCCAGTGGTTCTCAACCTTCCTAATGCCGCGACCCTTTAATACAGTTCCTCATGTTGTGGTGACCCCCAACCATAAAATTATTTTCGTTGCTACTTCATAACTGTAATTTTGCTACTGTTATGAATCATAATGTAAATATCTGACATGCTATATGTGTTTTCCGATGGTCGCGACCCACAGGTTGAGAACCGCTGCTAGCCGGAAAGAGGTCCTTAATGCTCCGGCCCAGCACATATAGGAAAATGAAGTCCCCACAGGCTCCACAGTCCCTACATGCTGACCCACAGTGCAAGCTGAGCTTTACAGATAGATAGGAAAATAGGAAAACGAGGTGGAGCGCGCGCGCGAACACACACACACACACGAAAGTGAGGACATAAGCACAGCCGCAGAACCACTGTCGCAAGCGAAGCTTTTCCGGCCTGACCTCCCTCCTGCCCCGCTAGAAGACCCAGTCTCCGACCCCTTACCCCCTCCCCAGTTTCCCAGCTCCCTTTGACTCCTCACCCTCGCCAGGGGCGTCTCGGGTAAACCCAAATATCGCACTATCTCTGTCGATTTCGCGCTGATTCTAATTGGCACACAACTTCACGTAAGCATCTAGCAGCCTACGTGATCGCACAGCCTTCTGGGAGTTGTAGTCCATTTCTTTGCTTTGTGGTAGTTGTAGTCCACTCAAGGGAATTTAGCCGCCAAACCCAGGCTCACCGTTCTTGATTTTTCCGGTGCTCTCACCTGGGCTTCGTCTAATTGCCCAGCCTCCTCACTCCACACCCCCATCCCACACATAAACACTGCTCATCGTGGGGCATTTAATACTGAATACTTAGCGAGCCTCTTCTGGTTGTTTTTTTTAAAATATATTTTATTGATTTTTTTACAGAGAGGAAGGAAGAGGGATAGAGAGTTAGAAACATCGATGAGAAACATTGATCAGCTGCCTCCTGCACACACCCTACTGGGGATGTGCCCGAAACCAAGGTACATGCCCTTGACCGGAATCGAACCTGGGACCCTTCAGTCCGCAAGCCGACGCTTTATCCACTGAGCCAAACCGGCGCTACGGCAAGCCTCTTCTGTTTTAAGTGCAAGGGTTACAGAGATAAATCAGACGCATCCCTGCTCTTGAGACAAGCAGGAACACAGAAAATTACAGAATAAGGTCCCCCATGAAGAAGCAGAGGGGTGTAAACACATAGAGGCAGGTAAACCATCTCAGAGGAGTCACTCGGGATGAATCCTGAAGGATGAGCAGGTGCGTAGACTACCAAAACAGCAGTCCATATGGTGTGCGCGGCATGGCAACAGGAAGGCATCTGGAGCAAGCAGGTGGAGGCAACTTTGCCCCGGAGGCTGTTCAGTCAGCTGCCAGTTTCCATCATGAGAGTTGAGTGGGGCCCTCTGTGCTCTTCCTCTGCCCTTGCCTGCAGGGACTATCTGGACCAAACTACCCCTCCCCCACTAATCCAGCCTTCTACTTCCTCCTGCAAACCACCCTACCTCCACACCCCACCCTACCTCCACACCCCACAGCCCACAGGTGAGGCTCCACACAGGCCCAGATGAAGACACATGACACAGCAGGATACACAGGGCCAAATGTTCCCATTTATTATGATTCACTCAGTTACCACAGACACACTGGCTCAAGCAGTTCAACTGCCAGATGGAGAATGGTCTATGTCTCCCAGAAATAAGAATACAAAAACAGGTCACTGGCTGCAAACCTGAGGATTCAAAAAACTGACGTGGGCTTCTTCCACCCCACCCCCCAGACCATCCTGCAGAGATGAATCTGTGCCCAGCCCCATATCTCATACTAGATCTTTCACCAGAAAAGTGCTTAGCTGCCTGGAGATGCAGCATCCAAGGGCCTGGACAAGCTCAGCCACACACAAGTAGCAGGCCTTCCAAGAACAATCAGGCATGGTCACATAGGTCTTGGGCCAGGACAAAGGAAAGGCAGGAAGAGAAGGAAATTGACTGGAGGTGGTAACCAGCAGGTCCTGGATCCTGGGCTTGCAGCTAGACCACAGGCCTTCTGAAGCTACCACAGAGACTAAGAGAAAGGAAGCCAGAGGTCTGGGCTTGGGGAGAAGACAGGGAAGGAAGAACCTAGACCTAGTGTACTATGGGCTGTAACAAATGCTTTTTGGAGAGAAAGTGGTAGAGGAGAGAGCCAATCACACTCTGGCCCAAGCCTAAGGGACCATTAGAAAGAGAACTTCCCAGAGGCCCTGGCTCCCTTATAGGAAAATTAAGTGCTTGGAGCTCAAAGCTCAGGATCGTAACTGGAAGCCCAGGTGCTGGGTTCCAAGCTGGAGCCAGTCCACAATGGCCAAGCAGGGTTTGGTTCTTCAGGCCAAATACCCAGGTAGGAGAAGGGAGAGTAGGAAATGAGCAGCTACTCCTTGAGTGAGAATCCACTCCCCTCCAGGCCTCAGAGAGCCAGGGTCTTTACCAGCAACATTCTCATAATGCTTGGAGCAGAATAGCCCTATAACCCTGAAATCACTGTCCTGGAAGAGAAAGGGGTTCTGGCAGGGTGAGAAAGGGCCAAGAACCAAGGCCAGTAGGCAGAAGGTAGCAAGTTATCTTGATGTGAAAAAACAAACAAAAGCCAGAGAGGCTCCCTTCCCACCAATACTAACCTGAAATCCCATTCCAGCCATTGAGCCTGCTGAAAAGATTGGCCCTTTGCTTCTTCCTGGGCCCTAAATTCAAGTGCCCAGAACTGCCCTGTGACCAAGAGCAAGTTGGCAAGGGGGAGTCATGCAGCCCTCTCAATGGGCCATGCCTGCCCTCTCCTCTGATCTTCCCTCCAGGCCCAGCCCTCTGAGCCTATCCCTTCTACCAGAAGCACACAGAACAGCTACTGCTGCCAGGAATCCAATGGTCAGTCAACTCAGAGACACCTAGTACCTCCCTGCAGGCTTGAACCAGCCAGACCTCACCCAGGAAACAATAATTATTTACATGTCCTCTACTTCAGCTGTACCTTTGCCTGAACACCACCCAATTCTTCAGGGAAGGCAGGGTAGGGTGGCAGCATCAGGCCACAGCAGCTTGGGGTTTGGGGAGAGACCTAGGCAGAGGGGCTCGAGGGGTTGCTTGGAAGAGAAGCAGGGGAAGCAGGATAGAAAAAAGAGGAGCCTGCCTCTACAGGCTTAGCTCTGAGAGTCAGGGAGATGACCCTGCAATGCCATTCCCTGCGAGACAGGTGCCCAAAGGGCTCTGCATCAGTGTGCCCTCCCACATCAGGGCTAAGGCTCAGCATTCCTATCTGCTTCTTTGATCTGGGAATGGGCTCAGTCTCAGGAGCAGATACTACTGCGACATTCAGCATTGGGGAAGACAAAGAAAAGCCACATGGGGAAGAGAAAAATCCTGGGCAAGAGAATAGACCACAGGGAATGTGACAGCAGAAAGAGAGGAGGGGAAGGGTACTCAAATTAGGAGCAAGGAAAGATCCCCGGCCTGTCCCACCCTCCCACCCACTACCACCACTACCATGAGTGCTAAAGAGTGTCACTTCCCAATAAGACCAAAAGTGGAAACAGTTTCAACTCATCACCCTGGGGAGGGGGCCAGGCTCTCTTGGCTATGCCTCCTGTCCCATGAGGGGTCCTTGGGCCAAGGTCAGAGGGAGTAGCCAAATGGAGGGTGGGCGGCTGATTTAGTTCTAAATATACATCTAGCACCACAACAGAGACCTCCACTGCACACTACTTTACATGGGACATGGACACAACTACTACCGCAACATGGGGCAGCTCCATGCGCAGCCTATAGCTCTCAGAATGCTCAGAGCAAAATCCAAAGGGGCAGGGGATATATATATATTTTTTTTATCTTTCTTTCTTTTTCTTTGTACAAAGAGGAGAAAAGGAAAGGGAGAACCCTGCTTGGTCACCACAACAGATTATGTGACTTGAGCCCCATCCCATCATCCCCCAGCCCTGCCTCCCAGTAGGCTTGGCTGGCTCACATCTCATTAGAGTATGTGTAGTTGGGGGTGGCAGAATATTGAGTCTGCGGCTGATTCATGGCACCCTGGGCTGCCCCCATGGCTGCATTCTGGGCTGCTTGCTGCACGTGTGGGTTCTTCCATGCCCCCGTGGTCCACTCCTCCTGAGCTTTGCTGAAACTTCCCCCACTGCCCCGGTAGAATTTATGAACCTGGAGGATGAGGAGCACAAGGAAGAGTTAATCAAAGCTAGTCCCCCCTCCCACCTGTGCTCTGTGCATCAGGAGCAAAGTCCACCAAGCCATTCCAGTTAGTCCCTGGGGAAACTTCTGGGTCCTAGCCCCTTTCCAAAGCCACCCCCTATGACCCTGAGGTAACCACGTACCATGCTGAGGGCAATGAAGGAAAAGACAGCCACAACTGTGAACATGATGGTGGGAATGAGCATCACCACCGCTGAGCCAACGTTTGTTCCAAAGAAGGAGATGGTGGCAATCCAGCCGCTGTAGGAAGAGGCCAACTGTGAGGCTACCCAGCACGGTGAGGGTTATCCAGGAACCACCCCACTATATACTGGAGCAAGGGACCGTCTCATTGTCACATGGAGAGACCATATTATTGGGTGCAAAGGGACCATCTTACTTATACCCAAAGGGCCTATGTCAGTGGTTCAGGAAGAGTCCTCCCCATGACTCAGGAGATGAACTCCTCAGACATAATGCTTCTTTTCCTCGGGTTCTCCCATGATTTTTGACACTCAGCCCCCAGAAACCACTGTAAGGTCTTCTTCTCCTCAAATGCTATGGCTGTTTCTACTCCAGTAGCTTGAATCCTATCATACTTTCTATAATTCATAGTGTCCTCCCAGGTCAGACAGCTTAGCATATGGAGGTAAGCAAAAGACATTAACAAGGTGCCACCTATGCTAGCCATGGATCAGTCCCAGATACCTCAGTTTCTTACCAGATGCCCCAGCCTGGGATGCCCACAGCCTGGATGATGCTGATGACCAGCTGGGCCATGAAGGTGAAGAAGAATGCCATGAAACTAAAGGAGCTGTCAGTCCTGCAACAAAGGAGATGGCTCCCATCAGCTGGGCAGAGGGCTAGGGATTCCCTGTCTTCAAGGCCCCCAAGCCCTTCCAAGTTTAAGTGAGTACACAATGGACAGAAGATAGTCAAAAGCCTTAAATGAGAGGCCAAAATGGGACAGTGTTTAACTATGGATCTTTGCAGGATTCCATGTTAGGTCTGTGTGTGCAGCATTACATAGGGAGACATCTCTTCATGAATGGACCACCCACTGGTACATTGGTTGTTGGCCCAACTGGCACAAAAATAGATGGGCCCATTGTGGCAGGAATAAATGACCCCATTGTCAAGAGGATGGACAATTCCATTGGCACCAATACTGCTAGCTCCACTGGTACATGGATGGATGATCCTATATGCTTAGAGACAGAAAGTCCCACTGGCACTAAAATGGACACCCTATTGGCACCAAGACAGTAATTTAATTGGCACATAGTTAGATGGTCTGGTTGGCAAAGACATTTGAGGCACCGGGGATACTACAAAGGCACCAAGATAGGTAGCCTTGTTGGTACATGGATGAATAGTCCAATTGGT